AGTTTCCAGTTTTGTCTTGGTCCACATTCATCACCATTCTTGGCTTCATGTAGTCCATGGATGGCAGGTTGGACACATCTGAGTTACCATTGTGTATAAGATCACCTTAGAGTCACATGCATATAGGCCCAGTTACTCAGAAGGCTGAGTCACAAGAGTCATTTGGATTTGTGACTTTAAGAGAACCATGGAGCAAGCCTGTCTTAAACAAACAAACAAAACAAAACAAACAGAAAGACCCACTTTGTTCAGGGGCTCTGTGTCCTGAAGAAGTATCTTTTGAGCAGATGTACACAATTTTTTACACTGTTGAGTGTTACCAGTTTTATCACCTCCCCTGAGACTGTCCATCCCTGTCAAGGGCACGAACATCCCTCAAATCCAGCTGCATTCTGATCCAGGGTCCTAGGCTGGGATCATTTTTACTGAAACAAGTTTTATTAATATGAGAGTGACTAGCCCATCTAGGTCAGATTTCTGGGAGAGATGTAGAAGGAAGGATTAGCCCCTACATGAGGCAGGAGGATTCCCCTGAACTTCCCCTCTGCACATGCCAACCTCTGCGGTTACTGGGAGAGCTGGGTGCCTCATTTACCTGAAGGTACATGTCTCACCTGCTAACTCAGCTCCAATCACCCATTTATGTTTTTCATTCAATTAATGAGAGTTTAGCTCTTACGCCTTCAGGTCCTAAGTGCAGGTTCCGCTCTTTTAAAAAATCCCTTGATACTTCCATAGACGTATTTAGATCACTCCCCATATCCCTCCCAACTTCATGTTTCCTCCTCCTCTTCTCCCTTCTCCTCCTGACCCACTCACTAATCAGTATTTCCCAGGAGAGGGTCGCAGCCCACCTCTAACTGAGGGAACTGTCAGCAGTTGATGGTCAGCAGGGGAGGGAGCCTCTGTCTTCTTTAGCAGCATGGCCCACAGTGTGTGACTCATGCTCCAGTTCCTGTTTTGCCTTCACAAAAAGTACCAGGAGCTCGAAAGGACTATACTTGTATAACACAATAACAATGTCCAAACGCGATCGAAATGAAGTTGCCCAGTTGCTTTCAAGCACACGCGCTCCTACAAGCAGGGATGCTGTGATGCATTCCAGGCTGTGTCTTCGGTGGCAAATGCGATCCAGGATGAACACCGTTGGTGCTGAGCGTGGGTTTGCCACATGAGCTTTCTCGATGACCACAGGTAGCTGAGCAGTGTCACTTATACCTCCATGATGTTTATCACAAACTAAAACGATGCAGTTGGTACAATCTCAGGAATCAATGAGGTCACCCTGCCTCATTGGATTCTTCTTAGTGGTGTCTGTTGGTGGCCTATGTAGCTGCCCATGTCCTGGAACATTCTGGAAACATCTGAAAGATGATAGAGCAACATGTGTGGCCATTGGGAGAAAAGAAAGACCCTAGGGTTGTCACAGACTTGGCACTAAATTTTGCTGTGCCACTCACATGCTGTGGCTTCTAGAAAGTCATTTGCTATCTCTCTCTCTCTCTCTCTCTCTCTCTCAGAGAGGAAGCAGGAAGAACTAATTTATAAGGATATTGTTAGAATATTAAATTAAACAGTGTATAATTATATACAATTATTATAGACAATAAATATAGCACTTAGTATATTTTAGTGCGTTATCACAGATAACTAACTGAATGTATAATGGATCTATTTTAATGTTGATAGTACCAGAGGCAGAGTTCCTAAGCACCTGAAGGATCACAACAGACTACCTAAAAAAAATTAAGTTAGCATCTGTACTGTCTGTGTCATTGAAAACTGGGAAGTCGGGGCTGGGAATCTGATGTTTTCATCTGGTATCTGTGAGCTGTGTGTGTGTGTGTGTGTGTGTGTGTGTGTGTGTGTGTGTGTTTGTGTGTGTGCCCCTTCACATGTGTTTGGATAATGTTAACCCTAAGCTGATTTGGAAAAAGACAAATCATGTGTATAGCATGCACTTGTGAAATGTAATTAAAAATCTTAAAAAGACCATTATATTTAAAAAAAGGAAAGGAAGGAAGAAAGAGGGAAGGGGGAGAAAGAGAGAGAGGGAGAGAGGGGGAGAGAGAGAGGAAAAAAGAAAGAGAGAGAGAAACAAAGAAAGAAAAAGAAAACCAACCAGGTGTGGGAGTGCATATCTTTAATCCCAGCACTCTGGTGGCAGAGGCAGGAGGATCTCTGTGAGTTTGAAGTCAGGTTTGTCTACATTTCGACAGTTAGGGCTATGCATAGAGACTGTTTCAAAACAACAAGAGAAACCAAAAGAAAAGCAACAAAACAAAGAGAGAGAGAGAGAGAGAGAGAGAGAGAGAGAGAGAACCTAGAAGTTATTTTGAACTTTTATGTCTTATTTGTCTTCGGCAGACGGATGGGTTTAAGTATCCCAGGCCCTCCTCAGTACCACCTTCTCCATCAGGATCTCAGACTTCCAGTCCTCAGAGCAGTGATGTGGAAGAAGACAGAGATGAGGATGAGGATGAAAGATATGACGAGGAAGAGGAGGCTGAGAGGGATCGGTTAAACATCAAGTCACCCTTTTTTCTGAACCACGTCCCAAAGGGGAAGAAAAAGCTTCATGGGGAATATAAGAACTGATCCAGAGCGTGCAAAGTAAGAATGAGTCTCCGAGAGAGTGAAAATGCTTGATTCCTTTTCCTTCTGAAAAAACACAATCACAGTTTCTGCCCGTAAAGAATGGAGGAGATTAAGTGGATGACAGTTTTGTAATTCAGAATAAAACAGTGTTATATTGTATTATATTACTTTAATCTTTAAGTCTTGTCTCTGCAAACTTAAAGATGAGTAGGACTTTTTAAGCAGTGGGACTGGAGGCATTTTAAAGATGGGTAATTTAGGTGGAGATGGTGACTCACACCTGTAATCTTAGCACTCAGAAGGCTGGGGCAGGAGGATTGCCATGATGCCAAGGCCAGACTGGTTTAAAGAGTAAGACCCTACATTTAAAAAAATGTTTAATGTAAGTGATGAGAGTTTTTTAGCTACTTATTTTTTAGAAAAATCATTATCATAATCCTTTGATTAATATTTATGAAGCTTCTCTCTTCCCAAAAAGACTGGATCTGAGCTATGATTGCATGGCTCACATATTTTAGATCGGCAAGACTTTGTTATTCATTTGTCATTTGCATTGAAGCCATGGATTTCTATTTCGCTCTGCAGATGACTGTTGAAGTCCACAAGAAAACAAACTAGCCCAAATCCATGTTCTGATGTGTGCTGAAAAATATTTACTACATGATGCCTGCTATCTAGAATTTGTGTTCAAGTAACTGATAGTAAGATGTTACCACCAGTGTGTGTCACCTTATTGTAACAGTACTTTAGTTGATTAAATGGAAATTTCAATCTTTTGTAGATAATAAATTGCCAAATCCAAATGAATAAATGTGTCACTACAGATTTTATTTTCTTTGATAATATCGTGCTTAAGATGTTTACGACGTCAAAATAACATGTGTGGAGTACCTGTCATATTGAATAGTACTTAGCATATTGAAAGGAATCTATTTCTCTTTCTTTTTGAGAAAGGGTTTTCTGTGTAGTTTTGGCTGTCCTGGAACTCCCTCTGTAGACCAGGCTGGCCTTGAACTCACAGGGTTAAAGGTGTGCGCCACCACCGTCCAGCTGGAAGGGATCAGAAATTGTAGGAAAAGTAGAAATCTATTTAAATATAGGAACAGTTTCTCTAACATAGTCTGTAATATATTTAAGAGGGTAGCTGAATGGTTGCAATATGCATAGTTATATTGCAAATGTAATGAACTAAATTGACTAAACACTAACAGCAGAGCCAGGATTTACCCTTGGTTCATTTTTTTTTCATAACTGACTAGCCATTCATTGTGTCCCACACACCACATAGTGATCACTTTGATTGACAGATCAGTTGGCCTTGCTCCAAAAATGCTCTGTATAAGTGTTGATCTTCTTAGAGCTGGGTTGTGGAGAGTAACGGTGAAAAAGACACCATATCACACGGTTGAAGACAAGGGTAGGCTGTCATCTAGCACCTCTGTGGCCATAGAGAAAGTAGCAGCATGAATACAAGCAATGAATCAAGCCAGCGTGGAAGATGGTTGTAAGTTCACCTTTTTATATACATCGGGAAGGAGGAACATGAATTATATAAAGCTCAATCCTGCTAAAAAACAATCTTCCAGTATGATAGCACTAGGAATGATGGCCTCTGTAAGGTGTCAAGGCTGTGAGAGCATAGTCTTTGGGAATGAAGTTAGTGATCTTAGAAAAGAGGACACCCCCTCCCCACAGCCAAGCTGGGGATGGTAGCTTAGATGTATACTGCTTGTTCAGCTGCATGGGGCTCAGGGCTCAATACCCAGTACCAAAATAAGAAGAGAGAAAAGACAAAGAAGAAAGAAGGAAGGGAGGAAGCTACAGAAGGAGGAAGAGAGGCAGGGAGGGAGAAGAGGGGAGGGGAGGCCCCAGGGAGTTGCTTCCTGGAGGTAAAGCCATGCAAGGAAGCAACTACGAGAGAGCAGTCTTGGCCAGACAGGCATTCGCCAACATGTTGGTCTGACAGTTCCAGAACTCTAAAAGGTAAATCTGTTTTTGTTAAGCTGCCAGTGTGGGGCACTTGGTTTTAGCAGTGAAACCACACCCTCCAACGGCAAAGCCAGGGTGAGCAGAGCTGGTTTCATACCTGCAGCTGTAAACTTTGGGACTTGCAATGCGGTGCGGATGGTTTTTCAAGGCACAGAGAGGACTGTTCTCGAGGAAATCCAAAGAGGCCCCATAGGAGGAGCTCAACTTTCAGTGAAGTCACATGGCTTCACAGCTGTATCGTCCGTCACTCAGTAACTTCAAGAATCAAATGAAATGAGAAATGAACTCTTCGAAGAATTAGCCACTGGAAAGACTGAACTGAATGCAGCTGCGTTGCCAGCTCTACTTTTACCCGAGGCCAAGCTACAACGATGAAACTCAAGGCCGCTAATACACACCCATTTCTATGCTTTTCACCAAGCACGGAGGGGCGTGGACCAAAGGCTGACCCGAGCAAGGCAGAGCCCCTTTGCCCTTTGCCCTTGCCTCTCCTCTTTCAGGGTTCCAATGGCGCTGGGGTTTGGGGACACATCTAGAAATACAAAGAGAACAGCAACCATGAGTCAAGACTGAAGATGGGGGATGGGAGGGGGCAATGAGAGGGAGAACATGTTGCGTTGTGCAGAAAGTGGCTGGAAATTCCGAGGAAGAGATGGTCTGTATGCATATATGTGTCGACGTCAGCAATGTCCAACTTTAAGATGAGTCTCATAAGGTAAACAGCTTTGACCTGTGGCCTTATTCATTTCAATTTGTACAAAGGTAGAAATAAAGAGACTGGAGAACACACCCGGTTCTGGCTGGAAAGTAGTTTTCCCACCTGTTCATGTTGGAATTTGCTGGCTATTGCGGTAGTGTTGGAGGGTGGGGCTTTTAATCCACACCTGGTGTACCCATTCATTAACTCCATAAGTCAATCCACTTTTAAGTTAAGTCATGACTAGTGACAAGTGCCTATGATAATGCCACAGTTTCTAGTTCTTGGATTTTTTTTGGGGGGGTGGGGGAAGGCAGAAACCAATGGTTCATTAACTTAATATAATTTTATTACTTAATAGTGAACAGAGAAGCAGACAAAACACAAGCACAGAGTTCAAATTTCAGACTGCATATATTACAGATATTCACATAAAGATATTCCGAAGTTATGGTTAGCAATTCTGAATTGATTAGGTAAAAAAAAAAAAAAAAAATACCATGGTGATCATGCTGTAATCCCAAGTAAGTTATTACCCTTGCTGTAGGGATCTTATCCTCAACTGCCCCCACTGTGTGTGTGTGTGTGTGTGTGTGTGTGTGTGAGAATGCATGGGTGCCTTCCCTTGTGTTTGGACTTGGAAATGGATAAATCATGCACATGGAACACATTTGTGCCATGGGAGTACCCTAATGTGAAGTCATGGCGAAGTCTCTTTCAGCCACAAAAAACAGGGATCTCCACAGGCTACCCCCGTTTGTGTGGCATATGCTCTGGCAAACTCCGTCACCATCTGCTTATATGCCAGTGACTTTAAGGTCTAAGTTTCTAAGTGGAATTCAGTTAGATTCCTTTGGAACACAAAGAGGCTCCCAGCCCTGACTCTTCACGGACCTTCCATGGGTTTCAGGATCATGCAGGGTCCCCCGTCTAAGCAGCAAAGACAATGGGTGTCTTCATGGGAGCTTTATTTACCCCAGGCATCCTCTCCCACCTCCCTCCTTAATTAACCTCTGTAGATGAGTTACAGGAAGACATATGCTGCCCCATACACAGGAAGTCCTGTCACAGCTTCTCTCTTACTGGGGACGAGAAAAGGGAACAGGGAGAATTGCTGCTGAGTGAACCCCAAAAGGGTGAGACACAAACCGCTAAGACCCAGACAGCACCCGGCTGCGGGGAAAAGAAAGCATTTCTGAGTTCCCAGCCTTGGCATTCTAAAGGCCATACAAAATCCAAGCCTGCGTCAGACACAGCTGTCCTGAACCCAAAGCAGGGGAAGAACTTGGCGGTGTTCCAGCCAAGAATTCCGTGTGTCTTCTGCTTCTGGAAGACTAATCCTAGAGCTGCAGGCGTCTAAAGTTACAGGCGTGGAAGGAAGGGTCCTAATCATGGGACTGCGTTTTCACAGGGACAGGCGTGCACTTGAATGTGCCCGGGTGCCTTTTCACTAGTTCAGTCTTCCAGGGATACACTTTGATAAATTCCCTCCTTCATCTGTAAGAAAGAAATCCATCAGTCAAGCAAACACTTTACGCTTGTTTCCCCCAAACACTTGAAATGGGGACCTAGAATGCTATCCCTCCTCCCGCTTAAACTGAACTTTCCTTTCTCTGTTGTAGCCTGGTGTCTGGCTCTGTCCATCTTCCCAACATTCATTGCTACTGTCATTTGCCACCAAAGTTCTTTTCCTAAAGACCTCAAGACTTGGTTCATTGTTGCACAGCTGGGAGTTAAAACCCATCACCTGGACACAGCATTCTCTGTCTATTATCCAGCTTCCTGTCACTTTTCCCATGGCCTGCCGATGACGTCTACTCTTAATAATAGGATTGGGACCGGAGACATGGGCTCAGTCGGTAAGGAGCTCCTGAGGATCTGAGTTTGGATCCCCAACACTCAAACAGAAGAGCCAGACACAATGACACATGCCAGTAATCCCAATGGTGGGGAATGGAGACAGGCTGATCTCTAGAAGCGCACTGACCAGCCAGATGGATGAACCAGCGACTTCCGGGTTCAGTGAGAGACCTGCCTTAAAGACTAAAGCAGAAAATGACAGGCCATCTAGTGACAACATCTGGCCTCCACATGCGTGGACACACACATACTGCACACACACACACACACACACACACTATGCACCTCATGACAATGGGTCCTTAGAACCGTGGGGCTGTCCCTGTAACAGGGTCACACAGCTAGTGAAGGCTGATGGAGCAACACCCAGGTGTGTGAACTTCCAAAGACATAGCTGACCCATTGCCAGGATGCCTCGGTTCTGCTAGCTTCCACACCACGTGGGCAGAATGGCTGGCTGTGTGCAAAAGTGAACCGGGATTGCTGAGCAGGCTTCCATTTGATTCCATTCTGAGAGTGAGCAATTGGATTTTCGTTATTTCATTATTTGTTTTTTTTGTTTTTGTTTTTTTTTTTTTTTTTTTTTTTTTTTGGTTTTAGTGCTTTCAGTTATAAAACAATACAGCTGGTTGGAGCGCCTTCAGTTTTAACTATTGGGTGGAGGCAGGAGGATAAGGAGTTCAAGGCCAGCCTTTGCTACATAGGGAATTTGAGGCCAGCCTCAACATAAGACAGTTTATTTAAAAGTAAACAAATAAATGTTATTAAAAGAGTGATGGGTCATGAAATTCATATGCTATTCCCCACTCTCATCAAGGAAGCATTTTTTTATATTCTTGGGACTAATTATACTGGGAAGTACATTGGCTTGTATTGAATACGCATTTCTGTGGGTCTGGAGAAGGGCTTGGCAATCAAAGCTCCAGAGTAGAAAGCAGTGAGCATACGTGTACCTTTTTGTGGTTTCTGCAATGAAGCCAGCAGCAGCGCTACAGCTTCTGGAAGAGTTAGTGGTTGAAGATTCAAGTTCCGTCTTTCTGGAGAAACACAAGTATACACAGCCTTGATATTCATGTAAACAAAGCAGCACTTAGCTATTCATGTCAATTAAACACTGTGAATAAATTAACATGTAAATGATTTCCTCTGCTGTGCGTGGCCAGAAAGGCCTCTGTGAAGCCGACTCTCAACCGGTGAACAGCGTACACTGAATATTGATTTTAAAAAATGAATTAAACATTTGTATTGCATTTTATTTAGAACATTCCTCTCCATGTGTGTATGTGTTTGTGTGTGTGTGCATGTGTGTGCATGTATGCGTGTGTGCATGTGTATGCATGTGTGTGTATGTTTGTGTGTGTGCATGTGTGTTCATGTGTGTGTCTATGTGTGTGTGCATGTGTGTGTATGTGTGTGCATGTGTGTGCATGTGTGTGTGCATGTGTGCGTGCATGTGTGTGCACGTGCATGCGCCCACACTCATGGAGGTCAGAGGTCAGCTCTGTGTGTGTGGGTTTGAGGGGTTGGATTTGGGCAGTAAGGCTTGGTGTCGGGCCCTTGTCTGCTGGTCAGTCTCCTTGGTCTCATGTTGGTCTTCGTAAGTTGAGACGTCTGTCATATTTCTCTTGGAAATGACTTCCGATTATTTTTGCTGTGTTTACATTTGGGGCTGGAAGAGGAATGCACACCTTATGTTAGGGAGGGAAGATGGAGTAAGACAGCCTCTGCGGCTTTCCCTCTTCCGGGCTTAGGAGGGGTGAATTTTCCTCTCACAGCTCAAAACAGTTGTCTGGGCCAAAAGATTGGGGCATGATTCCATCGGCGCCTGAATTCCCCACTTTCCATCTACCGAATGAGTTTGAGATAAACATGTGCATGCTGGGCCACACACGAGGTAATTAGCCGACTGAAGATACTTTCGCTAACTATTCAGAGCTGTTTCAGATTCCTTGAAGTCCATGTTTAGTGCACTACAGGTGTTAGGATGCTTCCTCATCCTACCTCAAATTTAAGGCACCAGATGGCTCAGTCCCAATTCAACACAGACACTGGGTTTAATGGAAGTAACAGAAAGAGAAGAAACGTATTTTACACTCACAACATAAGGTTAATCACACTGCAAAACCAGAGGAACAGAAACGGTAACTCGTGAAGCGTCTGCTAGGGGTTGTGTCCCACAGTGTTAAAGATTTCTCAAACGCTATCTTTTATTCCTTGCATTTGTATACAAAATTTTACCAAAATCAGTTTGTCTTCTTTTTAAACTGCAATGGCGTGGTTTCGTCAAGAAAAAGGGCCTTGACCCCTCCACCCCTCAGGATTTCATGTTTCATTAGTATTGCGTCATTTCTGTGATCTCTCTCTCTGCCCCAACTCTTCCTATGCCCCTCTCAGACTCATGACTTTTTCTTTAATTAGTATTTCCACGCCCCCCCCCCCGAGTTATCTAGTGTTACTCATGTGAACAAATATTCAGGGCTGACCATTTCAGATTGGATAGACCAACCCGGAGCTGTCCCTGGAGAAAACTGATTCCCTCCCCACCTACCCCTCCCCTCCCCCCCAGGCATTCGTACCTGGCTCCATTTTTAATGACCTTTGCTTGTTATGTTTGTTTTTAAAACCTTTTAGTAGCTGTTTTCAGTAATGTAAGAGGGAGATACATTTGAACCTTGTAAGTAATTCTGTAATGGTAATTAGTGTTTGGGAGGAAAAGGAGCAAGGCTCTATCCATAAATAAACACCGGGTGGGCTTCTCTCTGCCCTCTGGCCGCTCTGATGGGGCTCGGGGCTCCGCAGCTGCCTGCCGGGGTGGGGTGGGGTGGGGTGGGGTGGGGTGGGGTGGGGTGGGGTGGGATGGGGTGGGTGGGGTGGGTGGGGTGGGGGCAGTACAGGTTGAGCCCCCGCCGGCGGCCGCAGCGCAGCGCTCACCCACCTGGAGGCGGCCGGTCTGCCAGCTCCTTCCTGCGGCTCTGGTCCGAGATGAAGCGGCGGCCCTCTGCGGGGGAGACGCGGGCTGAGCTCGGGCCGCCAGACCCGGGCCAGGAAGACCGAGGTTGGAAGGCGACGGTGCCCCAGAGACCAGCCCAGCGGGGTTCGCGCACCCCCCCCCCAATTCCTAACTTTTCTTTTTGTCAAGTTCATCCCTTGCTCCTCTAACCCCAGGCACCCTGCTTGCTCAACAAACTAAAAACAGAACACCAGTAGTCCTCTCACTGAACCACCCACCCCCTCCTCCACCCTCCCTCATTTCCCCTTCTCCTCCCCTCCCGTCCCTTGAACCCCTCTCCTCCTCCTCTTCCCTCCCTCCTCCCTCTCCTTCCACCTTTCTTACTTTGACCCGGAACTTACTATGCAGCTCAAGCTAGCCTCGCACTCGCAGCTGCTCTCCTGCCTCAGCTTCCAGAGAGAGAGCTGTGAGCCCCGATGCCCGGCTCCTCTCTGGTGGCTCTGGCCATCAAGGCTCTCCCTGCATCTCACCTAACCTCGCTTACCATTTCGGCCTTGCCGGAGGGAGACCCTGGCTATTTACTGGAGCCAGGTTCCACTCTCCCCAGGTTCCCGCTCTGTGGCTTCCAGGGTTCCCGGGGTGTCTCCCATCATCACCTCCGGGGAGAGAACCAAGAGTTTGGGACTCACGCGCGCCCTTCAGGTAGAGCATCGCCTGGGGAGTCCAGTTTCTCCTCTCAAAGAGTCTCTGCAGCGAGAGAGGGCAGGAGAGCAGTTACTGCAGGGCAGCGGGGTGGAAAGAAGAAAAAGCCCGGAGGCAGCACAGTTCCCACGGGGCTGTGCCCTCTGGGTGCCTGCGATTACCTGCGGAGCGCCGCTGCTGTTTCCCAGGACAGACAGCGCCAGGAGAAGGGCCAAGGCTGTCACCGCCAGGCCGCTGGGGCCCTACAAAAAAAACATAAACCAAACAGGCCCACCTGAGTTCCGCTGGATTTTCTGCCTTCTCCTCAGACCAGACAAGCTCCTCACTTCTGTATATGGTCCTACCTCCTCGGCAATCCACACTGAGCAATTTTAAAAACTAGAAACGTATGCTTTTCTTAACTTTACCCAAATAAAGAATTGGAGGATAAGTTATTTTACTCAGCAAAGGCAAAGGATTTCACTATTTGGATGCGTTTTCTCCCAATGCCTTGTCATTAAAACTCTCATTAAATATTACCCAGACAGGCAGGCAGAGTGGGTGTGGGGTGAACGGGTCTGCTGAGGCTTACCTTCATGTTCCGGCCCTTTCCAGAGTCCCACAGTCGCTGTCACTCTCTACCTGCCAGTCTGCTCAATCCTTTTGCAACCTGGGGCTTTAAAAACTCTCCGTGTGAGCCTGCACAGGGGAGGGAGAGGAGACCACACAGGCAGCCTGTCAATCTTCAGAACAGGGCTGATCTGATGACTCCTCAAGGGAGATCTAGTTGGCGGAAATAGGACAGTGATTGATGGGCGGATATCATTTGTTTAGGAAGTGACCACACCAGCTAGTAGACACTCTGACTGTACCAGCACCCACCGTCACCTTTGTTTTCCTGTTAAGATGCCCCGTGCATTCTATCACCATCATTATTAATGAAAACAAGCGGATAACACAAGGAGCTGTGGCTGAAGATGAATCACCCCGGTGAACACGAAAAGGTTAAGGAACCTCAGAGGAACTTGACATCAGCCATTCACCCAAGTATCTATCCATCTAGTCAATGATTTAACAAACATGCCTTGAATGTCCGCCTCATACCAGACAAATCCTCCTTTAATTCAAGCATCCCCCCTTGGTCTCAAGGTACTCTTGCAGTTAGAGGGGCTTCATCTAGCCATTGGCACAATGCTGAGGTTGATAAGTCAAGGTGGGTAGGATGACATTGGGGGGGGGGGGGGAGTGCTGGCTTACTTTACAGAGAGAAAGCCATAGGGGATTAGAAAGATAAGATTCCAGGGGCTTTGGAGCTGGTATTCCAGTTACTCTGCAGTCAAAGGAAAAGGAAAACAGAGAGACAGCAAACAGCATGGTTTACTCGAGGTGGAGGAGGCAGAAACACGGTGGGCTACAGGGGAGGGCGCTGAGCGCTGGCTAGTACATAAGAAAATGTGGTCACAAGCAAAAGGCTGTGACGGAAGACTGGAGTGGCAGAGAATGGAAAGCTAGAGATGATTTTGGAGGTGGAAAACAGAGGATTTGTGGGTAAATCAGACAGGAGAGTACGAGAAAATAAATCAGTCAAGCCAGGCTGCTGCTTAGATTTTTGGCTCAAGCATGGATAAATGAAACAGTTTACCAGAGCAACAGAGACTTCCTAAGGAAGCAAACCATGAACACAGGGACATAAGAATGTGTATTTGACATGCAAGTAGGAAGGCAAAGTAGATGACCAGAAATGCCACGTAGGGGTCCAGCAAAAGGTCATCAACTTTTCTAAACAAAGGAGTGATCCACTGTAGGAACTTGAAGAATTCTAAGAATTTAAAAGTGGGGGAAGACTGGGCGTGAATGAATCTATCAACAGGAAGAGAGAGAGAGCTATGAAACAAGCATACAGAAAGCGAACAGGTAGACTCAGGAAAAGAGATAAAGGAGAGCAATCAGAAACAGGAGTCCTTGGGGCGGGGCTGATGTCAAGCAGCTCAGAGTCTGCAGTGATAGTGAGAGCCTGAGTGGCTGGTGACTGACTCAGCAGGTAAAGGCGCCTGCTGCCAAGACCCCTGAATAACTTGCATTTTATCCCTGGGACTCAGGTGGTGGAAGGAGAATGCTGACTCCTGTATGAATTCCTCTGACTGAAAACATGGTGTTGTGTATACACACACGTGCACACACGCACGCGCGCGCGCGCACACACACACACACACACACACACACACTATAGTTCCATAGTTTAAATTTTCACAAACACACACACACACACACACACACACACACACACACACTGTAGTTTAAAATTTCAGAGCTCAAGCTAGATGAGGCAATAGACAAATACATTTGGAAGTATGAAGCTGTCAGAGGGAATAAGCAAAATTGGAGTTGGTTAAACAGCAAATACAATGAAATCAAAACAAGTGTTGACAACCAGCCCAAAACTCACATTTTGGGGAGGAGAAATGATGAATTGGAGTATTCTAAGCTGTGGCGTTGTGGGATTATGTTGTTGGTTGGTGGAGTTGTTCTCTTGTGCAGATTGTAAATGCCTCCCTACTTTAGTAGATTTCTGTACCCCCAGGCTTCTCTAGCACACCTGTGTGTTTGATGGAGCCTTCTGCTGGGTCAGGAGGAGCCCCTAGAACAGTGGAGGCAGATCTAGTTTCTAGAGCAATTCTGGCAGAGTTAGTGGTGGATTCCAGAACTTAGTGCTGGGGTGTGATGACCTTCCCTTTGAGTCTTTTGTTTAAGCCAGTTAGGTTTGTCATTGTCTGTTGATAACAATCATTTGTAAGATGTATGCCATTGAAGATAATCAGAGCTATTATTGATGATGGAGAGTAAAGATAAACAACAACAAAAAAAAAACTAAAGGAATGAATTGCAGAACATTTGTTTAATGTGTGAAGATGTGTCACTGTAATTGGTTTAATAAAGAATTGAATGGCCAATAGCTAGGTGTGATTTCTGGGGAGAGAGGAAGAGGATAAGGAATCTAGGCATGGATTACACCAGAGAGATGCTGGAAAAAAATCAGACGTATGGTATAGAGCAGAGATAATAAGAACATAGATTAATTTATAGTTATAAGAACTATTGGGGACAAGCTGAAGCTAAGGGCCTAACTTTCATAATTAATAATAAATCTCTATGTGGAGATTTGGGGGCGGGGTGGAGATCCAAGGATAGTTCTACAAGAAAGCTTGCTACAAATGGCTGGGGAGATGGCTCGGTGGTTAAGAGCACATGCTGTCCTTGCAGAAGATACAGATTTGACAGATTTGGTTTCCATCACCAACAATGGGCAATGTACAACATACTGTAACTCCATTTCCAGGGGTCCAGTGCCCTCTTATCGTGTCCATGGGCACCTCCACAGATGCGTTGCATACATAGACATCCGGGCTCACGCATCAAATAAAAGTAAGTATTAATAGTATAAATCTTTACAAATGTGTTGCAAAGAAAGGAGAGCTTGCCAAGAGGGACAAGGTATCAACTGTGCTAGCATTCAGTTGAAACAGCTCTGCATAGCAACAGATAATTGGATGAAGACTTGAGCCCCGCCCCATACACTCTCACACACATGAAAGATGAGTGTGAGAAACGGCTTCTGTCAGTTCACAGGGGCTACATAACAATACAGTGAACTGATGTCCTGGTTTGGATCTCAAATGTCCCTCGAAGACCTTTGAGTTCAAAGTTTGTTCCACAGGGTGCGACTTAAAGATGGCAGACTTTCAGACGGCCTGGGGTGGGGGTGAGGGGAGGCTTCAGGTCTTTCCAGCACACTCCTGGCATGGATAGTCAGAATCACAACCTCTCCCTCTTCTTTTCCTTCTCTGCCTTGCGATGAACAATCCTGCGCTGCTCTAACGAGCTGACAGAGGCCCGTGGCTCTGTGTCTAAGATAGGGTTTCTACTCCTGTAAAGAGACACCGTGATCCCAGCAACTCTTATAAAGGAGAACATTTATGTGAGGTGGTAGCTGATAGTTTCAGAGGTTTAATTCTTTATCATCATGGCGGGGAGCAATATGGCTGGCGGTGTACAGGCAAAGAGCTGAGGGTTCTACCTCTTGATCCAAAGGCCACAGGAAGAAGGCTGAGATACTGGGTGGTGATTGAGCATATATGAGTCCTCAAAGCCCACCTCCACAGTGACACACTTCTCCCAACAAGACCACACCTACAGTGGGGGGGGGCGGATTTTCTTTCAAACCACAACCCTGTCTATTACTTTGTGGAGTGGAACCTTCAAAATGTGGGCCAAACATAAACCTTTCCGCTCCATAAACCGTATCATCTTCATTATTCATTACAGTGGCAGAGAGCTGACTACCTACCACAAATATCTTGTAGGTGACAGAAATTCATGACTCAGCTCTATAGGGTCAAGAGTCAGCATGGTTGGGTTCTGGTAAGGGCCTTCTCTGCCGTGTCCTCATATGCTGGAAGAGGAAAACAAATTCCTGGGATCTCTATTATAAGGACATTTGTCCCATTGATCCCATTATGTGTGTGTGAGTGTGTGTGTGTGTGTGTGTGTGTGTGTGTTTATGAGGTTTTGCCTGGATGTAGAATGTGGGGATTGACATTTAAAGGGTGAATATTATTTGCTAATTCTTGGAGATGAGATTGAGGTTTAGATTCTTGATGTTCAGGCTGGCCCTTGGACATGGACAGGAAAATTGAGGTTTTAACTAGTGTCATAGGTACTGTTCCTGATGCTGAAATGCCACAGGAAAAGCCATTAAAAAGGGAAAGTGTTTGTTGTGGCTCGGAAGTTCAAACATACAGCTCATCATGGTGGGGAAGGCAAGGGGATGGCAGCTGGGGGCAGCTGGTCATGTGACGTCCACAGGGATGAGAGCAGCTGGTCCCATTGCATCCAGAGAAACTGAGAGTAAGGAATGCTTCTTCTCAGCTCATTTATACACAGTCCAGTATCTGAGCCCAAGGAATGGTACCATGCCAAAGGCTCTGGATCTCATCAAGTTGACAGCTGACCCTCCATCACAGCTAGTGTATGAGAATGGGAATTACAGAGGAGTTCATATTTAAAGATTTGTAGACTGTTCTTTCCATCAGAGCAGCCAGAGCTGCTGAAGTGGTGGCTTGTGCCCACTGTCGAAGGAGACAGATTAAACCAAGTGCCAGGGGCCAGGGAGCTGGAATAGTGAGACCCAAATGCCTGGCAAACCTGAGGGCCTGAGCCTGATCAGCAGGTCCCATAATGTGAAAAGCTGTCTCCTGACCTATAGCCTCTCTCTCTCTCTCTCTCTCTCTCTCTCTCTCAGACACACACACACACACACACACACACACACACACACAAAGAAATGTAGCAAAAACAAAAAAAAAAAAAAACAAAAAAAAAAAAAACCAAGCCATGGAAAATGAATCACCAAAACTTCCAGTTTATCTGGTGAATCTGTAAGTGGGTGTTTTACGTCAAAGCTGCCATTTTCCATTTCGTGGAGCAGATGAAGGGAATAGCCTGACAGTTATCGATAGCATGGTTCCACCATGGACAGCACCACCTCCAGGTAGATACTGCTGTTAAGACACAGGCTTTAAAAAACAGATGCCCTTCCAAACCAACATAGAGAGAGAGCCCTGTTGTTTGGTTCAATACATGACAGGTCAAAACACTGAACTTTTTCTGCTGACAGTACGCACAGCAGGTTGCCAATCAAAAAGGCTCTCATGCGGTCCTTAACAGTATATTCATTCCTCATGCCGTCCTTAACGGTATATTCATTAGACATCATTATGCCTTCATCACTAAGACAATTTGGATTTTGAAACTTGGCTCTAGCATGCTCAGGTTCCATTTGAACAGCAATCACCTGTCACTGCTTAAAGTGTCATCTCCTCAAGTGACATATATTTGAATTGGTTGGCTGCTCAGCCAAGGGTAGTGTCAGTACCAATGCTTACACAATCTCTGAACCCGGAGCTGCCTCACAAGATCACAAGCACAAGAAGAGGCTCTTAGAAGTTCATTTTCATGGGAGAAGGCTCCTCACTCAGGACTACGTGCAACAGGATTACAGCCTGATCCTTCTGCCTCTCCTAAATTCCGGATTTACAGGTATGTGCTGGCATTCCTGTGACTTCTTTAGACCTGTAGAATCAGAGCTAAGGCAAAGCACTACTGGGCCGCTCTGTAGTCAGGGTTGCACACCCCTGCCTCAATTCTACCTCTGCTGAAACATAGAACTCATTTTAGTCTACCCATAGTTTAGCTGGGGATCACTGAGCCCCTTTAGTCCCCTTTCCAATGCACATAAAGAAACATCTCCTTCCTCTGATTTCCATAATTATCCTTTCAGTTGGGTACTGACGACAGCTGCCAGCCCAATCTGCTGGGGCTGCCACAGCTGGGCTTTTGAATTGAAACTCCAGTCACAGCACCACATCAGAAGACTCAAGGCCCAAGAATTCCATTGCTTATCACAAGTAGTTTCACACGAAGCATGCTGTTTTCAGATACATTCACTTAGGGAGGAAGTTTATTTCATTTCTTCCACTTAGGAAAGTTCTTTATAATGTCAACTCTAATTACAAAGTCCTCCTCCCCCACCCCTTTATTTAACAATGGGAAGGAGGGTGACCAATGATTCACGCTCACTTGGAGACATCAAGAGTGACTTCCATTGTCCTGGCATTTCCCTTTCCTAGGGAAGACAGCCTGCCCTTGATGATCCATCCTCTCCAGTAACAAGTTACCTTGTGAAAGGTCGGGATGTAAGGTAGAGACTTCTGCAGGGTTCATCTCAGTCACTGTGGCTGGCAGAGACCTCTGCTTCCACAAAACTGACTTCAACACACTAGGGGGTGGAGAGGACAGCAGCAAAGCTGGATAACTGCATTTGATTGGTTCAGCATTTCCTGGTACCTATGAAGCCCAGGGATGGACATACATCTTAAGAGACTGGAGCCTTAAGAATCATTTGCTACCAAATCAGTGTAAAGTCAGGAAGTGGAAAGGACCCAGAAGATCCAGCTGTGTTGGCCCAGCAAATAGGTAAGGGGAGAAAACGCTAGTGGCGTCCAGTGCAGTCTTCACAAGTGAGTATACCACAGGAAAGTAATTCAGCCAGTCAGGAACTTTCACATCTTAGTTCTGTCAACAACAGGACTCAAGTTAAAACTCGTGGCTCCTGGATAAGGTTTGGGAACTGTGCTAGATCATCCATCCTTCCATCCATCCACCCATCCATCCACCCACCCACCCACCAACCCATCCATCCATCTACTCATCCACCCACCAACCCATCCATCCATCATCAACTATCTACCAGACAAGATGTTTCATTATTTAGTTCAGGCTGGTCATGAAGTCCTGGCAAGCCTCCTGTTTCAGCCTCTCAGGTGGTAGGATAGATAATTAACTGACTTGTAGAATAACAGAACCTTCTGGCAGGGGGCCAGATGGTCTGAAGGAGGAGCAGCTGCTCTGCTGCTTCAGGCCTTTGCTGCTATCAGAACTCAGATCCTTTGCTCTTCCAACATGGGACTGAAGAATTACAGCTCTCCAGGGGTCCCCCATGTCCCCAGCACCGATTGGGTGTCAGGCATCTAGCCTCAAGAACTAATTCAGTGCAACTCCAGAGTACGTTTGGAGAAGTTAACAATTCCTGGTGGACAGGGATTAGTATTCTAATCGCTAGCATTTGGTCATGGGCTTTAAGCTCCCAAGAGACACTCAGAAAATGTCTGTTGAATGACCAGATGCTTAGCAGACTTCTGTTCGATGTTCTTTTGCTTTTTTGAGAACATACCTAAGTAGGCCTGGCTGCCTGCGTCTCACAGGGCTTACAATGCATCCTGAATGCCAGGATTAAAGGCTGCACCAATATGCCCAGAGTTTACCATTTTTTAAAAAACAGAATGTGGCCCAAGACAATGAATATTCATTAACATTTATATGTATGAGCGTTTGCCTGCCTGTTCGTGTATCACATGTATGCCTGGTCCCCGAGACCCAAAGAGGGCAGCAGATTCTCTTGAGCTGGCATAACTGAACCATTCGAGATGCCACATGGTTGCCAGGAACCCAATCTGTATACTCTTATTAAAGAGCTACAAACCTCTGGGCCATCTCTCCCTCCACCCAATATTCTTTTATACATTTTACTAGTTTTCAAATGTGTTTTCCTAATTTCGTTGTTGTATGACTGTACTTAAGAAATTTTGAAATTAAAATTTTCAAGGTCACTTGAAAAATTGCACATTTTTAAATGTCCCAATTTTAAAAAGAAGATAATTATAGTGTAATTTAAGCGTTAAAACTTCAAAGATACACTTGACCACCAATGAATAGAAAAGTACCCTTTTATTGAGGTAAGACAAGTGTATTTACAATACGCCATTGTTAAGAGTATATAATTTGACCATGAGACTTCTAAAGCAGCTGAATTCCAGAGAAGTGTAAGGGACAACATTGCAGGCATGTTTCTGTTACAGAAGGTACATTTGAACATGACAGAAACACTTAAGGCTGAGTACTAGAACTTTTCCTCCATTTGGGGGAATAAAGGTTTTTGTTGTTTTTTGTCACAAAGACAGAAGGCTGATTTTTAGAAGTGGGCAGGGCTTCCAGAAGTCAAAAGGCTGGTTTGTTTAAAGACAAGCCTCCCAAGGTTCTGACAGAAGTGCAGTGCTGATGAGCAGTCAGTCTCAGGCCCCCGAAACAAAGTGAGCCCAGCCCCTGCCTTGCAAAGGACGAGAGCTTCTCGAATCAGATCCAGTGTGTTCTGAAATCGGACTGCTGAAAGGGCATTTTGCTGTAGTGCAAAGAACACTGTGATGGGTCATGTCGAGGACGAATTTAAATGGCAGACTCCCGCTCTAACAGAGTGACACCTAGCCACTGTCAAACCACATGGGCCAGAGCCTATGGGAAGCGTACAGGGCATCTCACACACGTCCGTTCCCAAAGCATAGCACTGACATTCCAGGGAAGGTGTGACTTTGAGAAGGTCAGACACATTGCCAGGTCTTTTATTATCCCATGAGCTACTGAGGTAGGGTTCTCCAATTCACAGGTTACACCATAAAGTCAGAAGCAAGTACCAAACAGGACAGAAATCCACAAGAATGAACCATCCCACTACACACCAGTCCTTCCTTCTGCAGACCAGCAAGGCTGGAGATTCTCCTGGCACCAAGAAATTTAACTAAAAACATCAAACATTGTAACGTCTTGTAGAAATGGTTTGTAAATAAATACAATTTTAATTATGATTTTCTGCATTAAAAAGCTCTGAAACTGTTAAAAATAAATAGTTCAATCATTAGTGGTAAGATAAACAGTGTCACATCTGAGGGTGCTCCCATGACCAGGTAAGGAAGGACACCATTGTTGCTGCTGGTAGAGTAGCAACAGAAGGGAATGACAAGATTGCCCCAGCACTAAGCTCCCGAGGAACCCCACAAGTTTAGTTATAATGTAATAGTTTTTGCATGTCACCGGGGCATCTTTTCTCCTAAGTCAAGATGGAGATCAGTGGGGGGCAGGTATGGTGCTTGCTGCCTTCTGGATGTTACAATAAGGCTGCAAACAGGAGGAAAGTTAAGATGAAATAACAGCCCTTCTCAGTCACAGAATCATGCTTTTAACATGTTACACACCTTCAATGTCACCACAAGTTGTGAAACCAAGGTAGGAAACTGTGGCCAAATTTCATAAGAACACAAGAAGAAAAACTACATCATAACATGGGGAAACCATCTGATGTGCATCATTTAGTATCTCAGTAACTGATTCCAATGCCCTCTGCGGCAGACTACTCCATGGTCAGAGTGCTCTCTGCTTGGCGTCTGCGTGCAGCAGATTGTATGAACACACCCAGGCCATGCTCAAGAGATCTGCGCATCCACAGTGTCGTAGAGTCCAGAAAGCACTTGGTCAGCTATGCTTGAAAAGTAACAGCTCAAAATGACCTCTGCGTATTCTGAAAAAGAATGTCTAGTTCAGATTTTTATCTGGCTCCAAAATATTAAGATTCAAAAGGACCACAAAAGTTTTATTTTCATGTTTACAAAAAAAGTGATTGACACATGAAACTGGGCTTTCCTTGGGCTGATACATGGAGACGACATAATCTAATCCAATTCAGGCATCATTATCAGAGACCCAGCACACCTAGAAATACCTGGGCCATCATTAAAACAAAACACAAAACAAAACAAAAACACAGAAAAAAAAAAAAAAAAACCCCAAATGGCTACTGGTGTTCCTGAATCTTCTAAAAAAAAAAAAAAAGTAACAGACACCATGGTTCTCTATTAACGGCTGTTTCACGGGTTGCAGCAAGACTAAGAATCAGCCTTCTCAAGTCACTAAACTTGGTAACAAGGATCCATCCTCTCCAGCCGCTGTGCTCAGATGGTCTGGCCACAAGGCTGCTGTCAGTGCTTCTTCCATAACTGTTGGTGCTCTGGAGGGTGTGCGCTTTAAACTTCTGAAGGGCTTTACAAGCTAGTTTGAGAAACTGAACTTTGTGCTGAATAGTCTTCAAAGGGTTCATAAATAATATAATATTTAAAGTCTTCAGTTCCCTTGCTGTTATACCATATTGTTGCTTTCTCCAACTTTATCTACAAACTGTAAGAAGAAAAACATAATTAAAGGGAGCTCAGGCCTTGTATAGCATTGAACCAACACTTTACATGCTGGTTTCAAACATCCAATTTTATAAGGTTTGCGGGAATTCAAGGCATGACATAGTGGTTAGCTGGATGGTGTCCAACACCACCTTCTCAGGTGTGTATAAAATTTACTTTTCTAGAAGCTGCTTTTGCATGACATGTCATACACATGAATTTAAGGGTGAAACATGAAAAATGCAACACAATGAATAAAATAACGTATAAAATGACACTGACACTGCTAGCTCAACAAAAAAAGAAAAGACTGAAATGCCGGCCACTCATGCATTAATGAACCCAAAAAGATATTTCCACTGACCATTCCTGTGGATCTCTTCTGGGCCTATGTGGTCTTTGGACAAACAGATTTAACTCAATTAAGTTCAGTAATAAACAACAGCTATCAGCTATCAACTGAAAACATGTTACATGGGCATTCTGGACATCATACTTAGGGGGCAAAGACACTGAGACAGTCAGTGTGGCCAATGTAAACGTATGAACTTCAACGGACACTCAGGTAAATGGTCACTGATGGGCTACTCTGCTGTCTTACGTGGGCATCCCAGATGGTGATGATGTGCAGCTTGCAACAGTTACATCATCAGAGCAGTGATGCAGGGCGGGCATTGCTGAGATTGCACCCATGCTTCACACCTGTTACGTAGGCACTGACCGCAGACCCCTACTGTACACACTCATTTACACACTCATTACAGACTTGTAACTGCAGTCTTAGCAAATTCAAACGTCATTTTACATATAAACGATACCTAAGCTGAGTCTGGTAATAAAATGAATGGAGCCAGGGTCCACCCACCCCAAGCTGAGGCACCAACCTTTGCAATGATCCTCAGCAGGTGACTGATAGAGGATGCCTGTGGGTTCACTAGAGCCTTAAAACACCGTATTTGCTCTCCACAGACAAATGATCAGGCTGTTATCAGGGTGCTTTGCCTCTAAGACTGATCCCCAGGGAAAAGACTGGGCTTACAGTGGTGCCCATTTTCCTGGAAGTCTGTTAGCCAAGGACTCAGGTGACACTGTGGCTGTCCCTGCAATCTCTAGACAGACAGATGGGCCTAACCACCTTCTGTACTTCAACCTGGTTGTTCAGAATGAGCATGGACCTGTGGAACAAAGGTTCTTCCTAGGTGACTTCTGCTACGGGTTGGCTCTAGAGCCTAAAGAACTGTCTCCCTCCACCCGGGCTCCATCTACAGCATTCTCTGCGTATTTTAGGATCTCACTTAGTTTTCAGACTAAGGAAGATGGCTAGAGAGAAGTCAGAGTTGTCATGAGGTTGACTGGCTCTGTGAGGTCATTCACTGACTTGGGAAAAATGTTTGGCATTTCTACTGTGAGTGGCAGGTGTTACGCTGGGCTCTGGAGAAGAACGGCTAATAGCCATCTGCCTACTCTGCTACGAGCGACTATGATCACGGCTCTGGAGCTCTCTTCTCGATAATTAAAACAGGAAAATGTTACAATAGAGGCGTATACAAGGAAGACAGGCAAAGCCATCCTGAATCTGCCACAGGGAGTTGGGAAGGCAAGTAAAGCCTGAGAGGCTTCCGAGACCCCAAACCGATGGAGCCCCCATGCCCCATGGCAGGTCAGTATTAACACATCCACAGAACACACCCTGAAAGCAGGATGGGTTTCACTTAACAATTCACAAAAGTAGCTTAGCATTATCAACCAGAGTAACACCAAAATAGAAAACAATACTGAAAATGGCATGTCCAAACAAAATGTCAGGTTTTGCATATCTACAAACTATTAGTTTCTGATTTTCAGGGTAACCAGGATCCACGTGACACAATCATTTATATCATAATGCCTCAATCACATTGACGATTCACGCTCCCAGTGGGCATCACATTCATTTGGATGGTTTAAAAAATGTATTACTGCATATATGACTACTTACTGATCTGATTCCAGGCAGATTTAGGAGGGATCCAAGGACAGGCACTCTTCTGATAAAGCCAACAACCACAGGAAAGAAGCCCCTGGGAGGAGAAAGACAGGCTGTCAAATCAATGCTTTCTACCAGGAGGGGCCACTAACCCAGGGAAACTGAGACTTCAGAGTCGCTAGTTACAACAGTTAACGGTTTGATCGCTGGCAAAACGGTGCCCGGAGTACAATGGGCAGAGCTGTGCTGTCACCAGACCATGGGCTTTTCTGTCTGTCCCACTGCTGAAGACGGGAGGGGCCACCAGAAGAACCGAGCTGCTGAGGCTTCGTGTGAGACCATGAAAACACACACAGACAGAACAGCCAGTGGAAGGCAGCCTCACATCTTGTCAGTTTTTGGTGGGACACATGCCCACACAAGTGACCCAGCCGCCAATTAGTTACACTTTGTCTTCCACATCAGAAATGCTAGCTTTCCTAAGACAGATTTGCCTTAATTCATTTTCATGGTTTAGGTGACATGGTGCCTGGCACTCTAAAGTATAAATACAAGCAGTGTTTCTGAACGTATCTTCTCATGCACACTCTGCTTTACTGCCTAACTGGTTCCCGTAAGACAGCAGTGCTCAACAATCCCCGTGTTCTTCACTGGGCCTCTCGCCATGCAATGCACATGCACGAAGCATGCTGTGCTCAAGAAGCAGCTACTATAAAGCAACATATTTACATAAGAAAATGACCTGTCTATCCACTTATATACCCCACTAAAGAAACAGCAAACCCTGCTGTTTGGTGTAATGTCAACTTGACACAAGCTAGAGCCATCAGAGAAAGGAGCCTCAGCTGGAAAAAAAACAAAAAACGGCTCCCTGAGATCCAGCTGTAAGGCATTTTCTCACTTAATGACTAATTCGGGAAGGCCCAGGCTATGGTGGGTGGTGCCATCCCCGGCTGCTGGCCCTGGGTTCTATAAGGTGGTCTGAGCAAGGCAGTAAGCAGCACCTTCCACAGCTCTACAGCAGCTCCTGCTTCTGGGATCTTGCCATTTTGAGTTCCTGTCCTGACTTCCTTTAGCGATGAACAGCAGTGCTGAAGATAAGCTTAATAAACCCTTTCGTCCCCAACTCGCTCTTTGGCAATCATGTTTTGTCACAGCCATAGAAACCCTAACTAGGACAAATTGTTAGGAGAGTGTAGTATTGCTGTGACAGACCTTACCATGTTTTTGGGGGGGACTGTGGAACTTTGGTCTACAAGAACCATTGAGTGTTAAGAGCTTAGTGGGGGCGTTCTTTAGGAACGGAATATAAGAATGTTAAGTACAGAGGATGGAGGCTTGACTTGTAAAGTTTCGGAGGGAAGTTTGAAGACTCTTATCAGGGCTGTTATTTTGAATTAGGATCGCTTGGCAGGGGCTGGAGAATCCACTGTGGATAACAAGATAGCAGAACTACTGAGGCAAATTTTACTTTGCTGGAATACTTGATGTGGGTGGGCTGAGTTAAGAAATCATAAAGAAGAGACCAGCATCGTTGAGGTGAAGCCACACTTGGTAACGTGTAAGCATCACCCAGGTAGTATTGGTGTTGCAGGCATGAAGGGATCATGGGGAGCAGCTGAGGCTTGGCACTGTGAGAGGCAGGAGAGGCCACCGGTGAAGATGCAGCCTCAGTGGCAGTTGAAGGCCCAGGACTGAAGGGGTCACGCGGAGAAGTCGAGGCTTGGCACCACGAGGAGACCCTACGAGGGTCCACTGGTGAAAGTGCAGCCAGCTGCAGGCAGGGACCGGCACACTGGAGATGCCAGGACCACGGGAAGACCAGCAATAAGTGTAGCAGCGGTGGAGTGCAGCCAGCTGGCGCCTAGAAGACAGCTGTGTGTGTTGCAGAGGGCGGAGCTGGAGACGTAGTCAAGACCTCTGGAAGAGTCCGGAAGACAAGTGGGGCCCAGACATTGGATGGCTGGAATTTTGTTTTGCGCTGATTTGGTTGTGACTGTGTCCTGATTTTTTCCCCTCTTGATGTAAAAGTATTTTATTGGAGCCCCTAGTTGAGAGACTTGAATTTTAAAAGACTTTGTATTTTTAAAGATATTGATTATTTTAAGGGAATTGTAAAGATTATGGGACTTTGCAAGTTATTTAAGATCTTGGGGAAGAAGGGTTGTGGCTTAACAGTGATGCGTTTGTGGGTCAAGCTGAGCAGGGGTCAGTTGTACTGGGTGGTTGTGTGGGAATCTGACACATGCTAGAGTCGTCAGAGGACGAAGCACTGCAGATGCTTAACAAACACTTCCTTACTTCCCTCAGGCAGTCACTTACACCTAGGAAACTTTCTTATAGTTGACTGACCTAAAATTGAAAGACTTAGTCTAAACAGTGGTCATTCAGGAAGCGACACTCCCATGTGAGGTCGCCTGCCCAGGGCTCTGAACAGTTATCTGATACACTGGCTCACTGAAAGTAGGAGATAATGGCCTACCTGAACAAGAGAAAGAATCCATAAATTTCGAAGATCATGCCTATCAATGGCCAACCAATGAGGACCACAAACACACCACCCAGGAAGAATCCCGTGGCTTTCACTTTGTGTTTCTGGAAGAAGAATCTGAATGTTCTTTCTAGACCAATTACAAAAGCCAAGCCAGCCACAAACAGAACCTAGGAGAGAAAGACAACACAGACAAGGTTAACCCCTCATCAAGTGAAGAGCAAGGAGACGAGTCAGCAGTGAAGCAGTTTGCTTGGCGTCTGCTGTGCACCCTGCGCAGAGCCAGTTCACGGGGCATGCACGCTGGAAGTCCTGGCTGTCTCCACTGGCCTCATCTTGTGTCTAACCCCATTCAATGGGGGAAAGATGGTGGAAAGGGACTCCAAGACCCACATCGGCAGTTTCCCCAGCTGGCCTGGATGGAAGGGAAACGGCTTAGTTCAACAGACAGCTGGTGAGGCCTGGACGGCCAGCTCGCTTTAATTTCCCACCAAACGTCGTTCCTGACTGTGTGACAGTCACTGTGGGGTGTAGCGGTTTCTACGGGTGGGTGATTTCAGTGGTGACTTCACAGATGGCAGAGGATCAGTGTAAAGCCAAGGAGGAGAGCCCAGCAGCAGAGTAAGAAATCCTTTCCCTGCACTGTGAATGAAATGCCCCCCCCCACCCCATCCCCATAGTTTTCCTCAGGGCAAGTTACTTCTTACCACACACACCATGACCACCAGCTAAGTACCACATTCTCAGAAATCACTAACTTTGTTTTCCTTTCTTTTAATTAAAGTAAGCCACAGACTCCAAACACATCTTAAAATCATTCAGTGACTTTTCCATCTCCCCACAAGGGGGTTATTTCCTCCTGGAACTCCTGTCTGACCAGACACGTGGACAGGGTAGTACACAAGCAAGCAACCAAAGCACTTCCTTTCCAGTGATGTCAGGAACACAGCACCCAAGTATTCAAAAACAGAAAACTACATTGATCTATTCACTCATGTGCTGGTCCACAGGCATGTGCATGGAGGTTAGAGGGTATTTTAGAGGAGTTAGCTGGTTCTCTTCTTCTATCATGGAGCTCCCAGAGATTGGTTAGTGGCAAGCCCCTTTGCCAACTGAGCCATCTCATGACAAAAGATGTACTTTTTAAAAGCTTCTGGTTATTAAAAATTTGTTTATGTAATTTAATCACATGCACAGTCCCAGATATTTCCATTCAAATAGTTTGATAAATTTACTAAGGGGCTAGCAAGTCATCCTTCTTTTCTTTATTGTCTGAGATAGTACCTTGCTACGTAGCCCAGGCTAGCTTTGAACTGGTGGCAATCCTCCTGCCTTGTTTTTCTACGTGTTGAGCTTATAGGTTTGAGCCACCATGCCTGGCTAGGTCTTCTGCCTCCAACCACTATTCAGGTCTAACACTCATTTACTCAATTGCAAATCACACCACAGGGTAGCTGATCAGGTGGGAGCCTTAAGTTTATCTTCTGTTCACACAGAGCTGATGGGGTTCACTGCCGCTGCAAACTGTGAACCTGAGATTCATTTACCTATGATTATGAGCAAGCAAGTCACCAATAGATAAGTCTGATGAATTTAAAATGCACATGTCCAAAACTTACATTTCCAATAGCCAGCAGTGCTTTGTCAAAAAAGAGGATCATTCCAAAGAACAGGAAAAACACTCCAAACCCTGTTAAGCCCATGCCGATTTCTGCAACACAAAGCACATGGTTAAGGCAGAGAACCAAGTCCCTGACAATCCCACAAACCCAGCAAAAACCACAGGTCTCCTCCACCCTGGAGGTCAGCTTCTTCATGGCGTCAAGTTCTCTACCAAAGTGAGGCAGCATCAGCTAGTTCTGTGGCCAAGTGCCAGGAGACAGGAAAAGGTAGGCCTAGATTCTAAACTCTCTCTCTCTTTGATTGTAGGCAAAAATGTACAGGTTTTAACTGTTTTGTCTCCTATAAACTTTACAGCACAACTGTTACATGCTTAGGACTAGAACCTGAAATAACAACCTAGCCCACATTTGTACGTGTTCACTTAGAGACGAAGACTCTGTCAATCAACTCCTGGAGACCCAGGGGTGTTTGTTGTGGTGCTAAGTGCAGTGGTGGACACAGTACAACTGAGGTTGACCTGCATATTAATGCTTTGCTGACCTTACATTTTCTAGGTCCTATCTTTCGTTTGAGGCCACAGACACTCTTGCTATTGCCACAAAGAAAAATCTGCCAGTTACTTCTTGGTCACCCTGCTTTAGCTGTTAGAGGCTAACTGGCAACCTTTATTCTTCTCCCCAGAACTGCTGTTTGTATTAGTGATTTCTGGCCCGTTGCTTATTATTTTCCCTTCAGCTCTAGAGTGCTAAAATCCAGGCCAGCCTGTCTCCCTTCCCCTGCCCCCATACACATTACAAATCAACAAAACTAAGACTGAACCACATCAAGGTTCTGACAAGCCAATACTTTATAAACTTTACCTCTGTCTACAGCTCCATGGCCTGTTTTTTATACCATCTTCTATTTTGTTTCTAAAGTTAGTCTGAAAGAATCTACAAGCCTGTCTACCATCATTCTAGTTTAAATGTATTTCAGGCGCAAATATCGTAATTCCAGGCTAATACTTCCTTGCTCAAATGTTTCAGGAGAATTTACTAAAACAACTAGAAGGGCAAAAAACTTTATTAAGCAACTAGGAGTTAGGAGCAATTCATAACAGCCAAGTTATCCGAGTGTGACTTCTATGTTCACAGATTATCTTAATAATTACACAGAATCCAAGATGTTTGTTTATGGAAAAGGAAGTCAAGCTGGTAACGTGCCCGCAGTGCAAGCAGGATGATCTGAGTTTGGATCCCAGCACCCACCTACAAAGCCAGACATGGTTCATGCCTGCGATCCCATGGCTTGGGAGCAGAGACAGGAGAATTCTGAAGTGCTCTGGCCAGGCAGTCCAGTTAAATCAGTGAGCTCCAAGTTCAGTAGAGAGCCTGTCATTCATATTCACCCCCTCCCTTCTCTGAGAATGACTGATTGAATGTAAATCTGGCCACAACTGCACACATAAAAAGTAAAAGCATTCCCCAAGTTTATAAATAAAGGAGAAAATTAAATGGAGATACAGTAATATGCATTGAGAACTTGCCAGGCACTGTGAGGTGTTTCTCAGAGCATATGAAATGCAACCCTCCCAGTATCGCTGGGATGTAGGCAGAATCACATCACTTTGGGATTGGAGGAAGATGATGGGTAAGAGGGGATATTAGCTGCCCCAAATCAAACTATCGTTAAGTAACTGAACCAAGTCTATTTTAACCACATAAATATTTTTACCCACAGTTTAAAAATACATTTACTAAACCAGAGGGTACTGGGCTGCCCAGAATGATGTAACTGACATAAAGTTTAAATCTCAGTGTAGAACAACCCAGTAGGCACCAGAACTACTGAGAGTTAGCTGCAGTGGGAGAGCGTCCCATGCGGCTCATCACAGTGCAGTGTCCACACGCATGCCTGGTGATCCCTTCAACAAGGTTCTCAGGCAGCAGGTGGCAGGCAGCAATGGCTTAAGCTTCCAGTGAGCAAAGTATCAGCGTGGACAGCAGCCAAGGCCCTGCCGCAGGTAGACATCTAGTCTTCTCACACCACTATCCTACAGCTCAGAACCCAAACATTCCCACGACCTCTTCAAGTGCAGAAGGTCGGTCAGAAGGGGACAGACACCTGTGGGACCTTTACCACAATAACATTAGCACAGTGCTGTCAGAAATACCCTACTGAAATGGGTCAAAACCTCACCACACCCTTTCTCGTCTCCAGAGTTCCCTTTGTCCCTCTCCGTATCCACCCACAAGTTCTCTGAAGTCAAAAGAACTGTATGGCACAATGATCTTCCTGCCATGATCATACCTGGGAATACGTAATATCCTGTCTCCATTTTTTTTTCTGCCCATAAAAAGTAAATTTTGATATAAGCAAACCGAGAGGTTAATTTGAATAACAAAAAAACCTACTTAAGAAACTTTATAAAAAAAAAATGACCAGTTTAACTCAATGTCAATCATGGCTGGCATTTTATCGACAGTGACACTTTACAGAGACTGAGAGCAGGCCCTCCTCCCCCATCATGTCCTTTAAGAAACAGGTAAGTTCAACCAGTTATGAATCTCAGAAGGTCAAACAAATACCACAGCAGCATTTTACTTAATGTGACAATCCAGACGTAACAGGATGCTGTCCCCATGGAAACCCTTGCCCTTCCTTTAGGCACTGCAGGAATGGGGGAAGTGGTACCATAGTGTCTTCAGTCATCCACCCTTCTCAGAACTGAAAGCCTGAATCGTGTTGGCACCTCTCTGGAATGACACTGTCCAATCCAGCAGCAAACACAGACACAATTGGATTAAAAAAAAAAAAAAAAAAAAAAAACCCAAAAAACCTCTGGTTCCCTAAGCATCTCTTCTAACTCAACATCTCACCTCAGGCATCGCAAGTAAACATGGCAGAATTTCACACAGGAATTCTATAAAGAGGGGCAGGAAAGCGACTTTTTCTTCAGAGTCCAATTCCTCACTGCCTTATGCACAGGGTAATTTAAATTCAGACTTGCACCATCCCCAGATGTGAAATTTACACCGAGTCTCCTCAGAAGCCAGTAGTACAGTGAAAAAACAATGCTTGTGAGCCAGCGGTCTTGGGACCATGGCCTTTTCTGGCGTGCATGTGTGCAACTGAATATCCTACATGCTCCAATTTATAAATGGCCCATGTCTGCTTTACTGAATCAAGTTTGGCTCCCAGCACCCACATCAGGCAGCTAACAACTGTTTCTAACCCCAGCTCCAAGAGAACCCATGGCTCTGGCCTCCTCTGACACCCACATGCATATGTCAACACCCCCACACAGGCACATTAAAGGAAAACTAAGCCCACCGTTATGTACATATTTACATCTAACACTAAAATGGAAGAACACACTTTTATAAACTGTTACTAATAATAGTAGGGGGGAAAGGGCCACTTTTACTTCCGATCAAAACCAAATGAAATGGATGGACCAACAGGCAATGATTCCTGGCTAGTTCAAATCAAACACCCAGTGGGCATGATCGGGCTGCGAAGGTGTATAGGAAACCATAGAAAATCTGGTATTCCGGTGTGCCGTGACTTGAATTTGAACCTTCAGACTCTACTTGAGAATAACTTCAAGGAAGGTTTTCGTTTTCTGTTCAATGGGATGTTAGAACTCTGAAAAATCTAAGGCGGCTAGAGTTTGAAGAAGCAAAGGTCATGGCAATGAGGAAGGTGAAGCAAAAAGTTGTCATGCTTTTTTTTTAAAGATTTAAAAAAAAAACCTTTAAAAAGTAAACAGTTTTGGTAGGTATGTAAGTACAAATGAGTTTTTAAAGCGATGGAGCCAGGTCCGGAGAACACTTCAGTGTACTCTGATCTCTGAGACCACAAAAAAAAAAAAAAAAAAAAAAGGCAAGAGGACCGGAATGCTGAGATAGGCAGAGACGGGACGCGCACACAGTACACAGCGACACTAATAACGCAATCCTTTACCTGGAGAGACAGGCAGGGTTGCTCATGCTTGTGACAGTCAGAACTTTAGAGGCCGGGGCAGAAGGATTGCAAGTTGGAGGCCAGACCGCACACAAAGAACCAAAACCAAAACCAAAGGCCAGCCTCGTTTACACACTCCCAGACCCCCAGCACAGACAACCGAGACGCCACTCCCGACACCTCGGGGTGCTCCGACTCCAACTGAGCGCCGAGCGGCCTTACATTAAAATCGGCAAACTCGGTAGAAACTGAAAGGGGCGGGCAACAACCGAGGTCCTTGCGAGGGGGCGTGGGGCGGGCTGGAGCCCGGGGTCCTTGCGAGGGGGCGTGGGGCGGGCTGGAGCCCGGGGTCCTTGCGAGGGGGCGTGGGGCGGGCTGGAGCCCGGGGTCCTTGCGAGGGGGCGTGGGGCGGGCTGGAGCCCGGGGTCCTGGCGAGGGGGCGTGGGGCGGGCTGGAAGCAGCGGCAGCGTCTGAAAGCGATCGAGCAAGCGCAGCCAGCGCTCTCCGCGGGCCCCGCACCCCAGCCCCGCAGGGGCCCGGCCCGAGTGCAGGCGGGACGGCCCGGGAACTTCGTCCTCCGGCGGCGGCTCCACCCGAGCGGGCGCAGGCCGCCCGTCCCTCCCTCCGTCCCTCCGTCCCTCCGGCCGCCGCCCCACGCCGCGCTCGCCCCATTCATTGCGGGCGCGGAGCAGAGGCTGCGGCGGGAGCGCGGCCGACGCGGGGCCCCGGCAGCGCTTACTCTGCGTGTCGGTGAGGGAGATCATGGCGGCGGCGGCGTTGGCGGCGGCGGCCGCGGTGCCTCGGGGCCCACGCTGCGAAGCCGAGTCCGGAGAAGAGCCGCGGGGACGCCGCCCGGCCCGAGCCGCCACGTCTTCCGGAAACACGCAGCCGCCGCCGCCGCCCGGCCGCAAGGCCGCGCCCCATTGGCTGCAGCCTGGCCAATGGGGCGCGTTCTTGTTGGGATGGCCGCGCCGCGCCGCCAATCAGAGAGGCTCTGGCCTGTGATTGGTGGACGGGGCCGTCCCGGAAGGGTGGGCGCTGCGGGCCGGTGGCGGGAAGGGTTTTTATTTTATTTATTTTATTTTTTTCCACGGCGGAGCGGCTGTCAGGTGCGTGGGAGCCGGGCCTCGCCGCCGCCGCCAAGTGCTTCCACCCCCCCTTGTGGAGGCAGCGGCGTGGAGGGACGCGCGCCGGCTTAGCTTGCGTTTTCCTCCCGCATCCGCGACCGTTCAGGCATTTGACTGACAGGCCTTTTCTCGGATGTATTGTGCGCCGAGCTATCTTTTACTGCAAAGTTACGAGGTTTGGGGGAAGGGGCAGGTTTTTGGCAACAAAATCCTTTTTTTTTTTTTTTTAATTTTTTTTTTTTTAAATAATGGGAGGAAATGGACGTAGATCCATCGTTATCTCTCCTGAGCGAAGGGAGAGCGCCTGACGATTTCAGGTCCTGGAAAGGGCATTTTGCTAGGCTGTTTGATTACAAAAGTGAATAGAGGCAATCTATGCTCTGACCTCACAGCCCACGGACGGAATATTATCACGCTAGGAAGTGGTAAGGACATGCCGGTGTACACGAGGAAGGAGTCTTCACTTAGACTCATCCTTAAATGCCGGTAGCGATGTGTGGCCTCCATACCGTTTTAATCAAGGCTCAAACTGCCTTAACAGCCTTAACAGGAAGGGTGTGATTTGATAAAGCGAGAGGTCCAAGTGAGAACAGACATCTGTCTTTGGAGGGCGCGCTTAGTTTTAGCAAACTAAAACTAAGCTAAATATAACATGCTTTCTATTCTTCTTTATTAATGTAATGGTGTTCATAACAGTTTGGGGAAATGCACATTCAGGTTTAAGTTTTAACGATTAAAATTTAGTATCAGTTATGCTTTCTCCCATTTTTAACTATTCCAGATTCTTTTAAACCAATATGGTATTAGATGGTCTCTGCCTCCACCCTCTCTCTCTAAGTAAGCAAAGTTTACAGAGAAGTAGAGTAAGATCCCTGCAGCAGAGAGGGTCCTGAAAATCACCTGCTTGGAACACTAGCTTCTCTTAAGGGTGAATTTAACTGTAACTCTCTAAAGCAAGTGTTCAGTAAAATGCTAAGTGGTTGATCTATTTATGTTTTTGCTTAATCTGTGATATTTGAATCTAGCCTGCTTATTTGTGAGATAAGTCCTGCCAGACATGGCTGTACACACCTTTAGTCCTCTGTGGGTTGAGGCCATGAGTCCTGCCATCCAAGCTTTAAAGGCAGGGGGAAAGGGTTAGAGGAACAGCGTGTCATGTTGCTAAGGTCCAATGGACCTGGTCGCAGGTCTATTTAATATATGACCTGTTTTTTTTTTTTTTTGCTATATCTGCAACTTTAGGACATTTGTTGAGTGGTGTTGACTTTCTGCTTGGCACCAAACAGATATTTGCTTTCTAACTCTTTTTGCACATAATAGTGACAGGTTGTCATTGACTGAGAATTATTCGTTGTATTGGTTTGGTTTGGTTTGCATTTTGTTTTGTGGTGCTGGAGATTAAACTGTGTAGCTGAACACCACAGGTTCACATGTTAGCAAGCACAGCTAAGACATGAAAGAGTGGAGAAGGATTTATTGCCACCAGGAGGCAGGGAGAACAGGGGAATTATTTTGAAAATGATGTTCTCCAGGAACAAAGTGAAGGTAAGGAATTGGTTAGGGAGGCCTGTTCGTATTCATGGGGCAGGAGAATTGGGATACATTCCTGCACATATCCAGGGTGCAGCAGAACAGTTTTAGCTGATAGGAAATAAGACTTTGGAAGTGTGCTGCAGAGGAATCTGCCCTACCCTCCAATGCCTGCCTTGCCTACTGACTAATGCTTGTGCATGCTGAACAGGACCTGTGCCAGCCTCCACAGTATTGCTGTTAGAAAATGTTGCCATATTTGTTCTTCACTTTTAGAAGGACGTTTGGATCTCCAGTCCCGTTTTAGAATGGCATCTGTCTCAGGTTAGTGAATGAAATTATGCTTCGTATGTTACTTTGTCCTACTTTAATTTGCTCTTTGATTAAAAAAAAGTTTGAACAGTTATGATTTTAGAAATGATTTTTTTTAAAGCTGTTTTATTTATGTGCACAACAGGATTTCCCATTTCAGTATTAGTGAACAAATAGTTCACTGATGGTTGTCTATCTCCAGAACCTTCTTACCACCCCAGATTGAATGTTGGTCTACTAAGCTCCTTACACTTCTTTTCCTCCAGCCTGGAGACTTACTGTTCTCCTTTCTCTCTCTAAACTTGACCTTTTAGGGGCCTCACACACAGGGGTGTCTGTCAAACCTCGCATGGCATTATGCCTTCAAGGGAATGTGTGTTCAAGTATTTTTCCCCTTTAAGGCCCACACTGTTCCATTGACTGTATGTGCTTTTGCCCATTCTTCTGCTGATGGCAACTAGAATAATTCTGATATGACTTTCGGTATAGAAATGTCTTAAATACCTCTTTACATGGGCTTTTAAGTGTGTGTGTGTGTGTGTGTGTGTGTGTGTGTGTGTGTGTGTGTGTGTGTGTCACAGCATCCGTGGAGAGGTCAGAGTGAAATATTCTGGAATCAGTTCTCTTACCACTGTGGATTCAAGGGATAGAACTCAGGCCATTAGGCAGTGTCACAGTAAGCACTACCCGTTGAGCCATCTCACTGGCCATCTCTCCAGTTGTTTTGAGTGTGTACCTAGAATTGGACCTGCTGAGTCAAATGATAATTTCATGTTTAATGTTTTGAGGAGCTGGTGTTGTTTTGCACAGTGACTGCATTGATGTCTAGGAGACTGAGAACAGATAAAGAAGGAAATATAAATCACTCATAACCCCAGTGCTCCAGTTAATATGAATGCTGACAACAGTTTTATGATTTTTCAACCAAATTTTTAACAATTTGTACAGTTTTGGAGTGTGATATGAAAAATAAAAACATACAGACTACAGATGTCTACATTATGTAGCTTAATTATTCTATTTTTAATGCCTAGAATGTGTGGCTTTTTAAAAACTGACCTTACTTATTTGAACTCTATCCATTTGAACAATATGAGTGCGCCACATTGAACATATTGGAATCTAAAGCTTCCTGTGGCTGTCTGAGTACTACCTTAAGTTCCAGAAGCAGTCCCTACATTATGCACCTCCCCCAGATCAGCTGCCAGCGCGTTGATGTATTTCCCTTTATTGCGGGTTTCACATGGTCAGACTGTGCTGTGATAGTGAGATCTTGTGCTTGGTTTGATTGGCAGGTGACCCACTGGCAGGGGCAGGGAGCTTAAAGGAGGGTGGTTCTCCAGCCTTTTCTGTGGTGTAGTGGTTATGGCCCTTGCTGCACACTACCCTACCAGCTGGGAAACAAGACTCAGTTCTCTTTAGGAAAACACTGAGCATGGTTTTCGTCTGTATCCAGCACACCCTGCCACACAAAATGGCATACAACGTTACAATTTGCCTAAGTGTAAGTGTGGACATACATCCACCCACGTTTTGGCTTCATTTCAGGACCCATTCTCACAGCCTTGCAGGTTAGTGATCAGTGGTAGCAGTTTGTTTAGTCCTTACCCAAGTGGTCTTCATGGAAAAGATGAGACTAACAGGTGCTGTTGGACAGAGACTTACTTTTGTCCTGTCTGGATTCCACATCTTACCTCACTTATCCAGACTTAAGCTCTCCCGATGCCAAATAATGGAGCAGATGCACTCTAAGAAGTTAGTCTACTTCCTCTGCTGTTCTATCCATCTGTTGATCTGTATTTGAAACACCCTTTGAAATGGCCTTTGGTTTGTTGTTTAATATGCGTTGGGAGGGAACCACTTGTTAGTTTCCGCTTGGGACATTGCTAGAACACCCACACAGGGACCACACACAATCTCAGGGACTCTGGGGTGTGACCCACTCTCATGAACATGCTCTTGAGATAAAAAAAAAGTAGCAGCAGTATGCACCCTGCACTTATCCTTGTTCGCCCTTGTGGCTTGCCGAAGTCATTCGCTTGAGTATTACTCGCACCTGCAACCTGCATCGTATAGGCTAGCTATAGAAATAGTATCGTTTTGAGTATGTCTCAACACCCAGATTTTCTTATCTGGTCCATCAGGACTTTGCGTAAGGGTTGCCAGGGCTGACTTCGTTTCGGTAATACCTGGATGAAGCAGAATTTGGTCAGGGAAGCAGAAGTGCCGTGTCTGTTGAATGGGATTCACTGCAGTGATTAACCCCTACATGACTGTGGAAGTAGTTAAGCCCTCTGTGTTAGCAGTGTGACTGACACCAGGCCTGAGGTGTCTGGAAGGCAAACAGAATGAGAAGAGGCCTAGAGCGGGGGAAGGGAAGGCAGACCACTGTCTGTGAAGATGGGCTGTTAGTTCTTACACGGCTCGTCCCATGGCTCACAGTTGGGGAGAGGGGAGACTGTGGCAGAGCTGCTGTGCTTTTGCCCACAGCCTGGCTGAAGGTTCAGAGAGCAGAGGAGGATGTGCTCTGCAGGCCCTGCTGCTTTCCTGAAGTTATCTTCCATGCCAGGAAGACAACTAGCCCTGATCTGACACTCATCTAGAGTTGTAGATGTGGAAAGGAGGGTTCTCTAGGACTTGACGGCGAAGGGGATGCTGGGCAGTGTAGTTCTACCCCGGCTAAGGCAACACAGCACAGCTTCCACCACTTGGTCTCTGCCTTAATTGGACTCACAAAGGCCGTGGTGCAATCATGCTTCTGCCATGGAGAAACTCTGCCTTGTGGAGCCTGCCAGAGAGAGCACCGATTCGCCTTTATCATCCCAGCCACATCCTCTTGGTTCCCTTGAGACTGGCTCTCAGCCTGATGTAGGAGGTTAACTTCTTCAGTCGTTTGTTAGGTGTTTGGGAAATAGGAGAG